CAGAGTTTAGCTCATTTGAAACATAACATCACGAAATGGTGGAACTAAATTACAGGTTCATGTTGTGGTTTACTGCGTAGGCTCAATAAGCAACATTAATACTTTCCCCTTTTTTTAACTCATCACACTCATTACTTCACGGTGTAATATGTTGAAATGATTTACTTAGTTAAGTGTTTTATATAAGTTGACAATCTAGCAGGCTTAACGAGACTAATACAATTGAGATAATATTTGCTAGAGTCATTTGTTGTCGAATTTAGCAGTTTCACCTACATTAATCTGGATCTGCGATTTTAGTCCAACTTGAGGTGGCATTATTTGACCGACCAAAGGTAGAGGGACTCATATATATTGAGCTCGCAGTTCAAGTCTCTCCACGGCTCGTGTTCTGCATGAAGCCTTCATAATGGGATCAATATCAGCTGTGTTAAACTCCTGCTACTGGATCAACTATAGCACTGGATCAACTATAGCAGTGACTAAGGGACTTTGAGGTTTAGCATGAACTTGAGTACCTCGGCTGTTCATTGCCCTTTCCTCAAGAAAATGCTTCTTTTTTTCTTTGTATCAATAGTGTTCCCACTTCACCTCCTTGGGGACTCGAACCCATGACCTATGACCAGGTCATAGGTGAAACGTCTTACAACTCAAGCTGCGCTTCGTTATGTGTTTTCTATAAGTAAGAAAAATATATTGTAAATGTTGTGTTCTAGCAACACAAAATAAGACTTCATAAATAAAATTATATTTTATCTAGCCTACCATTGCTTCGAACTTAATAAATTTGGCATTAGAGATAAGATTAAAAAAATGTTTCCACAAAATGTTCTCTAGAATATGACTTTGGCAAATGGCTTCTACTCCGGCGTCATTATTTCGATATTCTCCATGTTAGATTTATAGAATCGGGGGAAGAAGTGTGATCAAGGGTCAAGGTGAGTCTAGTTGTCGCGTTAGTCGGGTAAAAAACAATTTGGTGACGAGGGAAGCAGTCCAATAGGCTTATACACTAATTCCATTTGTTGTGGGATAACTCACAAATGATATTTCAACACACCCTAACTTGTGAGTCCTCTAGCCGCCCTAGATCAAGCTCGGTTAGCAGAGTTGTCATATAGATTAGGTTTGCTCTGATACAATGTTAGATTTATATATAATCGGGGAAAGGGGTACGATCCCAAAGGTAAAGCGCATCTTATGAGGGCGAGCCTAGTTGCCACCTTAGTGAGGGTCCCATCAAATCCAATTAATGATAAGGAGTAGTCACTATGCTTATAATCAATGATGAACAACTCACGAGTGGTATTCCAACATACCCCACTTGTGAGTCCTAACTTAATAGATTAAATCATTGCAGGTCATCATGAGAAGTTTGGTATTCTTCTTCGCCCTTTATAAATAGATAGAAATGGAATACCGAAAATACATTGCAGTCGTAGATCAGGCTCGCTCTGGTACCATATTAGGTTTATATAGTGGGGGAAGGGGTGTGATCCCACAAGGGTGAAGCGCACATAAGAGGGCGAGTCTAGTTGTCACCTTAGTAAGTTTCCATCCTAATACCAATAGGTGATGGTAAGAGTAGTACACTAGACTAATAAACTAAGCTCATTTGCTCTAAATATAAACAATTTGAGAGCACTATGATTATTAGAGTAGCCAAATACAAACAATTTTTATCTCTTTTGATCTTTGGCATGTGATCTACGATCAACAATCATCCAATAAAGAGGCCAAATCCCCCAAAGCGCTAAAAAGAGTTGACAAAAAGAAAGATGTTATGGTGTACATCCAACCAGGCATTGACATGTCTATTTTTTCTCAAACATTTTGTATTAAAAAAGCCAAGTATGCATGGGAAATTTTGAAACAAGAATTCTACAAAATCAAAAAAATGATTGCTTTAAAGCTAAAAGCTCCAATCCTTATGGTGAGATTTTGACAATCTCCAAATGGATGAAAAAAGAGATCGTTCATGATTTATCATCCCAAAAGATAAAAGGGTCGTGGAGAAAGTGCTAAGATGTCTTCCTTTGAAAATTGATCTGCAACCGCAACAATTGAGTCGTTGAAAGATTTGTCCAAAAAAACTATTGACAAGATCGCTTCTTGTGCTGAGCAAATAATCAATTCACTAAACAACTTTTTCGATTAAAGCAAGCATCAAGCGTATGAACAATGAATCTAAAGGTTGGTTCCAAAATAAAGAAAAAACTGAAGAAAGAAGATGCACGATTTCCGAATGAAGAAATATTGTTCTACTTGAACTTGTAGTGAATCCAAAATTATGTGGTATTTAGATAGCAGTTGCAACAATCATATGGTCGGAAACCAAGATCTCTTCGTTGATAAATCCACATATCACAACTCAAATCTTTCTCGATGATGAATCACAAATGAGTGTTGAAGGAAAATGTATGATTGTGTCCAAACAAAAAAAAAAAAAAGGGTCAGAAAAAACGTATCATGGAAGTGCTTTATGTGCCGAATCTTGTGCTTGGCCAACTCATCCAAACAAAATTCTTGGTTCATTTGTGTAATGGGGAATTGCTGAATTCTCAATGAAAATAAGTATGTCATCAATCGCAAACGTTGAAATGAAAAATAATACATTTCTTCTCATGATGCCTCCCAGTGAAAATCGTGCATTTAAACAAAAACCCAACAAATCATCCAACAAAAATCCAGTCAGAATATACTTCTTGTTGTAATAAAAAACGAGAAGCCTCAATGATTAGTAATTTTTGGATCGACGAGAAGGAGACGCCTAAGTTGCACAAACTCAAGATGGAAGTTCCTACAAGAAGATGGAAGTGAAAGTAGAGGTGGAGGATAACTCAAAACTACAAATTAGTAGGAAGAAGAGTAAGGACCAAGAGGATAAGAACAACACATGGTACAGAGTGGAAGCGATTTCCGATAAGTTCCTCCATCATATTCGGCTGTAAGACTATGCCAAGCTCGATTAGGTTAAGGCCACTACGGAGGATGTGGTGCTCACAGTCATCAAGCCTAAATAAGAGGTCAAGAATCCTACAGTCAAGGTCATTAACATCCCTAGTATAACACCCTTACAAACTCAAGATTGCAAATTTAGAGGGTGCCAACAGAAGAAGTAATTTGCAATCTTCATCATAGGTAAAATTATGCATTGAAATAAATTTGGATAAAGGATATATTCATGCATTAATATAATGAAGTCTAGTAAATAGGGTATTTTAAAAGACATGTAATTGTTTATGACATTTATCTTAATGTCCATAGAATTCTCTTCCATCTAGTATAAACAGGAGTCAAGTTAGTTTGTTGTTTATCATGTGTGTGAAGTAAGAAAAATCTATCTATTACTAAAGAAAAAGAAATATATTAATAGACATTAAAATTTTCCACTAAATGTTACTTTATTTGGTCATTTTTGTAGTTTCTATTAAAAAAGCATTTTTAAAAAAAAAAACTCTTGCACTCTATATTAGATCATCATTAGTCGAATCTCTATTTTCATTTTAATAGTGCTACCATGTCAATATATTTACTGAATGATAACTATATTTATTTTATTAAATATTAACAAAAATCAAAAGAACAAAATATAAATATCATGCATGTCTTCAGCTGATTGTATTTTTGAAAATCTTCTAAAAATAAAAATAAAAACCTTAAAAATATTAACGAGAATATAAACTCAAACAATCAAATAAAAACTATATTTATAACAGTGATATGTATAAAACTGATTACCTTTACAATTTTGTTGTGATTTATGTTTATTAAATTGTGTCTACCTAAATATAATATATAACATATTAGTGATTAAAAAATTTAGCCATAGCATTATAAAAATGACAAATCGAAAAGATTAAATATCATTATACACAAAGTACCAAATAACATATGTATAATGTTGTGTATGATGAAAATTCTTATAACTGATAATAATTCATTATAATTAATTTTCTTATAAATTGAATTAAACTTTATTTAATACATTGTATAATCAAACTTGACCTTTCACATAACGGGTAAAATAGAAGTACTATATTCTAAAGAATGTGTAGTAGTAACTCAAAATAACACTGCATACACAAAATNAATACCTACATATTTTTAAAGTAAATATTTCATTTGAAAAGAGTTGAAAAGAACATAACGGGGAATGAGAGAGAATAATTAAGAAGAGAAAAAAAGGAAAGGAAAAAAAAGGCAGAAAAGAAACCTGGAAGGAAAGAAAAAGAGACAAGAAAAAGAAAGAGAAAAAAAATAATATATATATATATATATATGTATATATATATATAATTCTCGAATACGCTATAGACCTAATATTTGGCATAAGTTCGTGCTTCGTATTTACACATGTGCAGGTTTAGTTTTGACTATTAGGCTTGTGAATTAGCATAAACAATTTTACGTTTCGTTTTTTTTCTTAAATTACCATATACTACTCTTACGTTTTCTTATTTAATATATATATATATATATATATTATTATTATAAACATGTATTTTTTTCATTTTTAAACCTTTATACTTTTTTATCTATATTTTATTTTTTCATATATGATACATCTAAATAATCATATTTTAACGATCTTCAATTTGACATCGATATTGTATTTATAAAATAAAAAATAATTTCATCTATCTTTATACATAAAGCCAATTTTATGAACAAATCATTTTCAAAAGTATCAAATAACAATATAAATTATTTATTAAAAAAAAGTAAAAATCAAATTCATTAATACACTATAAAATAATCATTTAACGTGTTTTTTCAATACATTTTGGATAAAATATGGAAATTAACTATTACATAAAATAAATTTTAAGAAACATTATAAAATATTATTTCTCAATTCAAATAGATTATATAAAGAACCGAATATTATTATGTTGTTTAAAATAATAAATATAAAAGAATATCATAATTAAAAATAATAAAATAATTTTATATTTCATAAAGTTATAAAATAATATGAATAAATTAATATTTTAAATTATTAAAAATTATGAATTTAAAATAATTGAAAAAACAATAAACGAGAGACATGAACTTTATAAATATAAAATATGATCATAATACAATAAAACTTGTTTTATTTTAAAAAAAAATGAACAATTTTGTGGAGTTGTATTAATAACTATTTTAGACATATAATATTAATAACTGTTTTAGACATAATTTTAAAAATATAATTAAAAATATATTTTTTGACAAATTTAGCGTAAATACGAATGTCATTTTGAATTAATAATCACTTTGTTAAATGTATATTCCTTATACATAATTTCACATTATAATTATAAATTATTTAAATTTTTTTTGTATTGTAGAAATATTAATATATTTAAATACCTATGTAGTACAAGGGTATCGTACAAGATCTATAAATATATATATATATATATATATATATATATATATATAGAGAGAGAGAGAGAGAGAGAGAGAGAGTGGAGGATCACTCTTTATAATGAGTTCATGAGACTTAATTTTAGCCATTTTCGTGTTGATCAATGTCTCATATTAATCACTTTGAATACACATTAATTATGTAATAAAAAATAATTATTATTACATTTAGATTAAGATAGTTTTTAAGTAGGAATTTCAATACTATTTCAAGTAAATTTCTATCTCTATTATATAGTAATAGATTAAGATATTTACTTGATGAAAATCCACTCAAGATATCCACAGCTCGAGTAGCTTTTGTAGTTATCCCTACAAACTAGGCAAATTAGTTTCATGTAAATAAATTAACCAAGTTTATCAAATTATTGTCTATTTAGCCTAAGTAGCAGCACTTCCCAACAAACATAATGGAGAAGAACTTTAGGGGACAATGAAAGTCATTGCCACTTTTGTTGTCTGATTTTCAATATTCGCAACTCTGAATGTTTGGCTTTCAAGAAACTTGAGCGTTTGAAAGAACTAACAACTATATCCCACCATCAGTTTTAAACTTTAAACCACACCATTTGGATTAAGCGTTTGAAATCAGATTAAACAACATGAATCCGATATATTACCTTGGTATGAAGATAATTTCACCAATATTCAAAATAACTAACAACTATATCCCACCATGAGTTTCAAACTTTCAACCAAACCCTTTGGATTGAGCCCTTGAAAAACCAGAATAGGTAACATGAATCCAATATATTATGTTGGTGTGAAGATAATTCCACCAATATTCCAAAAGGGTAACAACTATTCCAATGAAATTTATGACAAATTCCCCAAAGTAGTTCAAACAAAAGATCAGATTATAAAATTAAAAACAGATAAACTCACCAGAATTCAGCCATTTCACTCGAAGGTATTTGCTTCGACAATGACTCGTAAAAAATTCTCAATGGTTCTCGCTGCAAATCAGTAGTAGAAAATCAGGATAGAATTCATTTGAAAATCAATGTCGATGATGTAAATAAAAATTCTAGAGAAATACAGAACCTCCTCTGGAACATCGAATTTTTGTCCTGGCAAGGAATAAACTTTCTTCACTCTGGTTTTGGTGACTGTTGTCGTGGCACCTTTTGATTGAGTGGATGTTTTCTTTACCTTCACTTGATCAAAATATAATGAAATTAATTATTGTAATGGCTGAAAGTTGGAATCTCTAGCACTATAGCTGAACAAAAATCATTCTAGTAATTATCCATCTGTGTAGCTAGAAAAATCCTGTAAGAAAATATGTATATCTAAATAGCATGGAAAATACAACAATCCAGAAAATATGTATATCCAATTAATGAGGAATTCATATCACAGAAACTCCCTACAATATTCACTTACCAACCATCACGAACCCAACCGCCTCAATGAAAGGAAAAACTTAATTTAATCTTATGTTTTAAAAACCAAGTAGTTTCAACTAATACGAATCCAAATCAATCAAAAGGATAGATCAGTTGTAACTCTAGCAATACAGCAAAAAAATTTCTTCACACTAGCGATTCCGATGATTAAAAAAAATGGGAAAAAAAATCATATTAAGTGATAGAAAAAACAAGTAACTATAAAAAAGCACCTCACATAAGAAAAGAAAAAAAATAAACCATAGAATGTTCACTATATAACTTTTCTGTAATATGCCTACAAAATACAAAAAACTGAAGGATTCAAAGCCCGATCTTTGCATAATGGCACCTTAAATAAATATCGGAGACAATAGAAAACGACGAAGAAATACTAAAAAAAAAAAATCGAATCTTCTTTCACATGGGTACCATTTTGGAAGCACTAACGGTGGATTTGTTTTTGGCATCAGCTGAAGAATTCTTGATTGATACCTCAACAGATTTCTTCTTGGTCACCAATGAATCAACCCTGGGTTTTGAAGATGACGACCCATCCCCAGTGTTGGGCCTCGATTTCATGGAATTACTGGATTTTGCTACCGAGGTCATGATTTTGTTTCGCTAAACTGTATTATCGAATCTTAAATTCCTATTTCGGACCCGTTCAATCTTGGTTTTTTCAAATCTATAATGTAAATAGTAGAAATTTTTCTTGACTGGTTTTGAGGAATAATGAGGATTGAAAATGTAGGAATTGGGATAAATGAGACAGATGAGAGGTTAGGTTAGGTTTGGACAAAAAGTGGTCTGATTAGTTTTCAATCGTCTTTTACAGATGCTGTAACTAATGATTTTTCACTGTTACATTGGAAGCTCCTTTTCGCACATGCCACAAAATTCAACAAAGTAGTAACTAGTAATATCAGGATTTTCAGATGTCTCGAGGAAATAATGAAATTTTGTTTTGTGATTCTTGTCTGAAATCTGAAATACTGAACATTCAGATTTCGAAGATATTTGGATAATAGAAATGTAAGAAAGTGCAGGAAGATGTCCAATTCTACTTTTTAATTAGATGTACGTGATGAGAGATTTCTGAATGCTATTTACCCAGTCATAGTTAATGAGTATTAAATTAATGCGATAACTGGTGGATTTTCTTGAAAATAAAAGAACATATTTTTGTGAATTAAAGCCAGATGTCAATATTTTTAAAACCTAATTGTTGTAAGTAATTATTTTAGGGAGGTACTATTTACTGCCCCTTTTACTACTCATCGTCTCTCTTGGACGATTTTGCCCTTTTCATTTTTTCTAAACACCTCAGAGGAAAGTGTACGGTGAAATGTCGTCAAATTCGGAGATACGAAAATTTTGGTGTCCGACCGCCGGAACTGGATGGCTTTTAGCCCGTCCGACCGCCGGAACCGGACGAATTTTAAGCCGTCCGGCCGGCCAGTTCGGACGGGTTAAAAGCCGTCCGAAAAGTTCGGCCGGTCGGATTGGCTATGGCCGGTCGGAATTGCTCCGACCGGTTCGGCCGGCCGGACAAATTTTTCAATTTTTTTTTTTAAATTATTATGTTATAAATTGGACTATATTATTATGTTATAAATTATTATGTTACATTTTAAACTTGATTATGTTACAAATTGAACATTAAAGATTATCGTGTTAGGAGTTACAGATTATGTTACAAATTGAACATTAAAGATTATCGTGTTAGGAGTTACAAATTATTATGTTACATGTTGATTATGCTATAAATTGGACGTTAGATATTATCGTGTTACGAGTTAGAAATTATTATATTACATGTTAGTCTTGGTTATGTTATAAATTGACGTTAGATAGTATCGTGTTAGGAGTTACAAATTATTATGTTACATGTTATAGTTGATTATATTATAAATTGGACGTTAGATATTATCGTGATTGTGTTAGGAGTTACAAATTATTGTGTTACATGTTGGACTTCATTATGCTATAAATTGGACGTTAGATAATATCATGTTATGAGTTACAAATTATTATGTTACATGTTAGAATTAATTATCTTAATTTAACATGTTCTAAAAATATAAATATTGTACTATATAGCAGGAGTTATGGGAAGAAAAAAAATCTCATTCAACTTAAGTTTAGCAAAAAAAAAAAAAAACATTAATTTGAATGATTTATGTACTAAAAATGACAAAAAAGGTACCATTAATGCGATTTCGATTCCCCTGTAACACGAACGTATGTTCCTGCGCTCGAGACAAGCTCGTTCTCCTGAGTCGACCCATCGGGACTCTCAGGAGAATGAGCCTGTCTCAAGCGCAGGAACATACGTTCGTGTTACAGGGCAATCGAAAATCGCATTAATGGGACTTTTTTTTTTCATTTTTAATATAAACCATTCAACTTAATGTTTTACAAATAATAAATAAAAAAAACCATTCAACTTAATGTTTTACAATAATAATTAAAAAAAAATATTCATTACATCATTATTGGGCATTGTCGTAATCCAACTTAAACTTAGCGAAATCTTCTTGGACTTGCGCCGCCTCTGGACATTCAACAAGGAACTGCTGCATGGTCGATGTAAAGCCCAAAAGACGGTCTACCCACTAAAAAAATGAAAGAATAAAAAAATATGACGAAAATTTATTAAAAAAATTATTGTAATGAAATAACATTAATTAAAATTTAGTAACCAACTTACATAGGCGGTATTGACACGCGTAGGGACCTCGTTCTCGTCCGGCAGCTCCTCGCCCATGAGAGTCGACTGGGAAACCCGACTGTACCACTGCAAGTAATCCTCAGTCCCCTCCCCGCGATCATGTGTGGTGGGGGTGAACATAGCGGTGTTGACCGTCCCAGAAATCGGAAACTAGGTCCAGGCACCTACTGCAGCAGCCTCAGAATGCTCAACCCTGTAGTTCCTAGACTCCCAAGCACGTACTGCACTTATTGGCGGGTATGTAGGGGGAGGGATAGTCTGGACATACCCCAACTGACGCAGACACCGCGCAGGCAAGTACGGCTCGACAACATCGCGGTATCGAATCAATCCGCTATAAAGAGTCCTCGGCACTATCGCATCTGGGCTGGAGCTGCCGTATGGCAACCATTGCACCTGTTCACAATTGCATAAAAACATTTATAAAAATAATTATATTATTTTAAATAACAGGTAACTAAATTTAAATAAAATAACTTCACGTACATCGGAAGCAGTGAGTCTGTCGAGGCGCCGACGGATGGCTGTGAGCCGATCGTCTAACCTTGGCGCATTCCCTACGCTCCACGAGCGAGATCCTGCGAGACAGTCAGGACCGATGGGTAGACGCCCTTGGGGTCGAAAATCGGGGAAATACTCATATATCCAGGACTGCAGAAGAGTTCCGCAGCCCGACAGTCCACTGGAGTCCCCTCGGTTGGCAATACCTAGCTGTCTGTACATGTATGCCAGCGTAGCCGATCCCCATGAGTAACCCCCAATCAAATACAAGCCGTTGAGCACCTCGTGCAGGAGCTTGGGGGTCACTCTACTACCACTCTTGTCGACGAACAATGTGGTAGCCAGCATCACCCACGTCCAGGCACCCGCCTCATCCCTAGCCGGCCGGTGTTTCCCCCTGAATGCCCCCACAATGGAGGCTTCGGACACCGAACCACGCTGCCAGAACGAACTCATGAGTTCGCCCTTGGTGACCGAAAGTATCGACATGCAGAGTCCATGGCAGGCGTCCGAATCCGGGTCCTCAGCGACCACGGCTCCCTCCACAGAAACGCCCAAAATGGCCCGAACGTCGTGCACCATGGTGCTCATTTCACCAAAATGCAGGTGAAACGAGTTAGTATCCGGCTGCCATCGCTCCACAAATGCAGAAAGGAGTGGGATGTCCAAGTGGATGTGCATGGAGTCGGCCAGATGTGACAGCCCGGTCTTATCGATCAGAGCTCTCGCATCGGAAGACATCTCATCACGCCAAGCCTTCAGATTCTCGACCGCTCTCAGTCTGTTGTGGCATTTCAGCAGCCCCCTCAAATCTTCACTCCATATGCAGGAGGCGACGTGCCCTAGAAAGCTAGGGAGGACACTCCCATCAATGGGCCCACCGGCCACTAGGCCTTTAATGATCCAGGGTGCATCATCATCGGTCCTAGCTCGTTTACTAGTACCTGCATTAAGTACAACATATCTGTATATATAGATTTGCTGGCAGATGCATTAAATAAAATATATTTAATAAAACATATTTCATTAGTTTCCCGTTCTTTTTTTTTTTAATTAATGAAAAACGTTACATTTTACATTAATAAAATATAATGACAATTTTAAACTAATTTATTATGTAACATTACTACTAATTGATTATAACAATAATAAAAATAATTATAATAATTTTCTAACTAATTAATTGTATGGTTCCTCTAAATTACAAAATAATTATACCGTAGTTGAGGAGCAGGCCGATAATACTTTTCTAACAGTGCCGATAATTTGTTATGATTAAGTGAAAATAATTTATGTTAAACAACAATAAATACGTAAATTATTTACCTGATGAGGATGCAGATGGGCCAAAACGCCCCCCAACCTGTCGTTGACGAGCAGCCTGTATAGGACGAACAACCTGTACCGGACGAACCTGCTTAGAACCGGTTGTACCGGACGAACAGGCTGTACAGGAGGACGAGGGTGGCTAGGACCCGTAGGCTGTGCGTGGTCCTGATCATCTGAGGAGTCGTCCGAGTCACACTCCTCTAGACCCTGCTCCCTCTCGCCGTACGACTCATCAGCATACCCCTGCTGACCATAGGGTAATGGTACGCATGCGCAAGGAGGTATTGACTTCCCTGCGTAGCGGGGAAAAGCATATCCCAACTGATCGTACGGTCCTGATGCTGGGGGCATCGAACTGCCTGCCTGACCAGGATAATAAAATTCATGCTCGCCGTACGGGAGGACTCCGTGGAGTCGCGAACTATCTGGCTGGCCCTCAAAATGATATCCCTGCGAACCATCTCGCACTGGTGCGGGGAGGTCTCGAACTCTGGCTAGCCTGACGAATCTGTACCCTCCGAACTTCATCGATCATCGTCTGCCTTTCCATGTCCTTCTCCCGACGAACGGACGCATTAACACCCCGACTTCTAGTGTGTCGGGTACCAGAACCATCATAATAGTCATCGAACGCCTCGTCGTCGTCCCTGACATTAGATTGTTCAGGTCTGCTAACACTCTGAATCAGAAATATAATTATTAAATTTTTACTACTTCTGCTTACATCAAGTTCCATTGGTTTAGTGAATAAAGGCTTATTTCTCACACTCACACCACCCCCCTCATTGAGTCCCCCTACCTTCTGTTCATTGCATAACCCCTTAATAATTTGGAGGTTTTCCCCTGCACCTACAATCTCAGCACTATCCTGCTCATGTCTATCACTAATCCCTCTTACCTCACCCACCAGCACTAGAACTCTCCTCTCTTTCTTCTATGATTTTATCCTTGCTAGACTCAGAATTAAGCTTACCACTACTAGGGCTAGAAGACCTCCTACCCCTAGACTCACTAAAACCCCCAATATATCCCCCTAAGTCATTCCCCAAATTGCTCTGTTCTAACCACGTTCCTCTGGATATCACTCTTTTTAACCTCATACATCCTAGCACTATGGCCAATCCTACCACAATAGAAGTACAATGTTAAAAGATTTTCATACCTAAACTCTACTCAGTGCTCCTTTGTTCCTAAATGTTAGTGCTTCTTGGAAGAGGCTCGAATAGACTCACTTCAACCAAGATTTTGGTCAACTTACCATTCGAGTTACCTGCCCCTAGGACTATAACATCTAACACTTTTTCAAAGACATGTCCCACATGTAACCCTACTTCTGTAGAGATCCAATATAATGGCAAACTGTGTATTTGAACCCACAATTCCACTTTGAGCTCTGTCTCCTTGAAGTCCACCTCATCCTTCTTCTACTCCTTGAGCAGCAGATATTGTCCTTCAAACCACCACGTCTTTCCCTTTACCCCTCTACATTTATCTTCCTCTACTTGGAATAGAAATTGGAATAAATTCTGCCCCAACACCCTAACTGAAAATTGTCGAATTGTTCTCCAAATCACCCCCATTGTAGTCTTGAGCCTCCTAGATTTACTTTCTTTTCCCCCACAATCTTGCCAATCAGACTTAGAACACAATCTTGAATTCCAAGTTCGATGTCCGCCTCAGACAGAGATGTCCGCTCTCCTTTTTCGACAACTCGAACCTATTTAGCTTATCAATGATATCTTTATCCATCGAAACCCATAAAGTCCTCATAATCTCACTACGAAGCAGACTCTTTAGAGGAGAAGAACTACACTCTAAGACAAA